CATTATTCCTCATACTCCTCACTATGTCCATTAATGTTCGATTTCTTCGTTCTGAAACATCATTCTGGTCCGGAGAACCAAGCATAGTGTATTGGGCAACAATCTCATTCTTTTGAAAAAACCTAGCAAAGGGACCGCCAACTTGTCCATTTTCTGTGTATCTGCCATAGTACTCACTACCTCTATCAGATCTGACGATTTTGATTTGTTTTCCACATTGTTTCTCTACTTCAGCCTTGAAAACTTTAAAGGTTTCTAAAGCTTCATCCTTAGAATGAAGTAAGTAGATATACATGTACCGTGAATAATCGTCAATAAAGGTGATGAAGTATCTCGGATCACTTGTATCCATGTTTGGACAACAAATGTCTGTATGAATAATTTCCAAAAGATTCGAACTCCTTTGTGCACCCTTTATAGACTTGTTAGTTTGCTTGCTTTTAATGCAATTCACACAAGTCTCAAAATCAGTGTAATCTAGGGTACTAAGTATCCCTTCATTCACTAATCTCTTAATTTGTCAATTGAGACATGTCCCAATCGACGATGCCATAACATATATGAGTTATCATTCATAACAAATCGCTTTAAACCAGCTGTGACATGCAATGAATCAAAAGTAGTGTCATTTTTCAATTTAATCGAATAAAGACCATAATTAATTTCACCACAACCAACGGTTCTAGATTCAAAATCCAAAACAAAACTAGAATCCATAAAGTGAAACGAAAAACCCAAACATGATAGTCTCGATACATAAATTAAATTTTTGGAAAAACTAGGAACATAAAAAGTCTTTTCCAACTTCAAAACAAAACCACTACTAAGCACTAAACTGCACGTCCCAATGGCTTCCACAGGTGAACGCATCCGACTACCGGAATAGATGAACTGTTCACTTCCCATTGGTTTCTTAGGCTTTCCATACCCTGCAAGGTATTGGAAATATGAATTATAGAACCAGAATCAATCCATCATGTGTTATAATTAATATTAACCATATTGGATTCATAACAAACAAATGCAAAAGAAATACCTTTCTTTTCGAGCTAGGTTTTGAACTTAATGCAGTCTTTCTTCATGTGTCCTTTTTTTATAGAAAAAATACGTAGACTCCTTCTTTATAACTTGCTCAGTTGGCACAGGTCCCTTCCCCTTTGTATCATGTTTTCTTTTCTTGCCATGGACTGTTAGGTTCACTTTCTCATCTTCCTCCATCAATAGTCTCTCCTCCTCTTGGACACACATGGTCATCAATTCATTGATGGACCATTTATCTTTATGTGTGTTGTAGGATATCTTAAATGGACCGTATTGATGAGGTAAAGTGCACAAAATGTAATTGACAAGAAAGGACTCAGACATGGTCACCTCTAAGCTTCTCAGCTGCGCCGCAATGTCCCGCATGAGCATTATATGCTCGCGCACAACCCTCACACCCGTGAATCTCATGGTGGAGAATTGAATGATCAATGTGTTGGCAAGAGCCTTATCAGACTTAACGAATTGCTCGTCAATAGCCTTCAAAAGCTCTCTGACATTATCATGCTGATCGACAGACGCACGGATACCCGCAGAGATCTTAGTCTTTATGAGCATCATGGAAAGACGGTTAGATCTCTCCCATCGCTCATAAAAATCCACATCATCTGGCTCACGGGTTTCAGTAATAATCGGCGGCTCGTCTTTCCGTATAGCATAATCAATGTCCACTTAGCCTAAATGAAGGAGAATCCTCTCCTTCCAGATTTTGTAATTATCACCAGTCAATTCGGGAATATCACACTTAATGTCGGAGAAATTCATAGGATTAAACGCTGCAAAATTAAACATACATGCTCATCAATAAACGAGACAAATAAATTACATGTTCTACCAATGTAAGCACGTTAAGACATGAATCTAAAAACATAAGACTGGCCTGTGGGCTAAAGTTTTACTCAATTAGATTCAAACAAAAACTTCACAATAAAACTATCAAATTGCGTGTCTTTTCTCAATTCCTGTGGGTAGATTAAGAAATACAATTCAATATTTTATCCTAATTACTCCTATAAATATAAAAAGACTCCTGTGGGTAGATCTCATCACATTGCACATGATAATTACAATCGATGTCTATTAATGTGATTTCAAATCAATCATAAATAAATTTTTAATTAATCGAGGATGTTGTGGCTATTCCTTAATTAAATAAAATTTAAAATAAATCACAAACATTTTGAATATATAATATGAAGTTGTATGCATGATCAACTCAGACTAGTGCAGCAACATGCTTCAATTAAAATAAATAAATAAAAATAGTACATGAGAGAAATTATGCTTCTCGTAAGTGATGTTGCATGGTACGATTTTCACATAATACTGAGGCAAAATAAATAAATAAATAAATCTGCTGCAGTTGCTTAGTAATTAAGCAGGTTATACAATTAGAGAATTAATGTGACTTTGTTGTGCAACTGTTTGTTTCACATCATATTCGCATACCATCATTCTAAATATAGAGAATAAATTAATCATTAAATATGTAAACATGCAGTAAGAATAAACACAACCGCGGTAGACAAACTAAATTGCAGTATGTATAAGCGATGAAACGAAAGCAAACAATTTAAATAATCATATCAGATCTGAAGCGCACACAGAAATATTTAAACCACTGTCCATCTAATTCAACAATTTCACATATTGCGTACATAACATAAATTAATTTCATTAAAAGAATTTCAAAAATAAAATTTAAAATTTTCCCAAAAACAGAATGATATTTTCTCAAATCGCATGATTGGATATTGATCAAGAAAATATCGCAAAGCAATTGTTGAAAATAAAAAACCAAAATATTTCCAAATAAGAAATTAAAGCGAATCTTGATCAAGAATTTGATGAGAAGAAAATTCAAAGCAAGAAATTTCTCTGATACCAAATGTTAGAAATAATTCTCAAATCAAATATGTTAGCGGAAGCGAATAAAAAAATTTAAGCAAACCTCTAGCTATTGCTAAAAATTAAATTTGTTCTTGAGATCTTCTTATTCAAGCAAACAGTAGATTTGAACCGTGGGAAGATGGTGTTGCCAAACTCTGGAATCCTTAGGAAGATATTGCCGAACTTTGAAACCCTGGGAAGATATTGCCAGATCCTGGAACCCTAGGATGACGTTGCCAAACCCTGCTCTCAAATAGCAATGGTGTATTCTAATTTTTTTAGAGTAGGTTTAGTAACTCGTATGTGAGAGTATTTATAATTAAAAAGAGAAACCGTCCATCACGATTTTTCTGCCACTTCTCACGTATATTTTAAATGTGATGGACTTAATGGGAGAAAAGTAGACCACAATTTAGAGTTAGTTTAATTATATAAGATAATCCAAAAATAATCAAAATTTAAATATGATTAATTAATTAATTAAACTAACATTTTCTATGACACATCATTTTGTTTCAGAAAGTCATGCACTAAAAGATGAAAAAAAAAGCAAAAGAGAGCAATGAAAGACAATGTTTAATATTAGGAGCATCTTCATACGTGATTTTGTGAGACCCATACTCCCATCAACTCCAGCATAAGGCAACGGATAAGCAGTTTGCAAAATTCAAAACATTTTCCATTAACTTCACATCACCATTCCTTTTGATGACACATTTTTGCAAATGCCAACCTACGCTAGATTCCTTAAGGGTATCATCTCTAAGGGTCAAACATTTTAAGACGCGACTACACAAGTACAATTGACAGGGAATTGTAGTGTAATATATCATTTCTTGTATTTTATAAAATCTAGAACCTAAACAAGCATTATGTTACTTAGGCAAAAACATCAATCTAATGTCATATTCATTGTACAAGAAACTAGGACTTTTAACTTTAATGCTTTACAAAACCATAATTCAACTTTCTGATAAACTATAAGAATTCCAAAGGGAAACGTATGTAACTTAAGCGTAAACCAATCTAATCTCATATTCCCTGTGCAAGAAAATTTGGATTTTATACTATAATTCCTTGAAAAACAATAATTCAACATGTTGATAAAACTATGATAATTCCAAAGAGATTTGATGCTTTGGTATAGATGCGAGTTTATTTTCTCCACATATTTTATTGTAATGAAGATTAATAAGGACGAGATACTCCACTCGTCTTAGGAAGTTATTTTCTTGGCACTGCACAAGCTAATATTGATGCTACCAAAGGCAAACGTTCATTACAACTTGGCCAAGAAAAAGTCACATTTTTTCATAAAGGAAGCAATGTTGTATTTTCAGGATTGCATAATGACTTTGAATTTGAATTATTTGAAGTCAATTATATCTATGTTATAAATTGCGAGTTATTATGAAATTCATTTCAGAAAAAATCACCTTGCAAATATGCTCAAATTGAAGATCTTTTCGAAATAAAGAAGTCATTTGATCAAACTCTAACCACTAGCGAGGATTTTCATGAACCACATCGTGAATCTATTCAGATAAGCTCCCACATGTGAGTGATCAAAAGAAACCCAATGTCAAGATAAAGAAATTTCAAGACCATCTTAAATATTCCTATCTTAGAGTAGATGAATTCCTACCAGTTATCATATATAATCTCTTTTGAATACCAGGAAGGCTAGTTGCTCGGTATTTTTAAAATGTATAAAGAGGCTAATGCATGGAAGATTGACAATTTCAAGGCATCAGTCTTAGTAATTGCATGCATAATATTTACTTGGAGAAAAATGGTAAGTATTTCCGTCAACCGTAATGAAGGCTCAAGAAAAAAATATGCAACAAGACCTAAAGAATGATAAGAAAAGTTTTAGATACATTTATGACTTTTGCGATTTTTGACAACAAATGGGTTAGCCCAACTCAAGTGGTATCCAAACGGATTTTTTTTTAATGAAGTGGTTAATGACAAAAATGAAGATGGCTAAGCTTGATGCTTGAAATTTTTTCTTGTTCCTTAACTCCGGAAAATCGACCAGTTAAGAGTAATGAAATTGAAAACCTATATAAATTATACCATAGAGCAAAATACAAATAAAAATTCAGGAACATATTTAGTGTAATATTAATAAATAAAATAAACAAGTTGCTAAATTATTATTACATTATATTCTTATTCAAATTCAGATATAAGATAACATCAAATACTAAACTATTTTATTAGGGACAATCCTAAGAGAAATGGCCTTCTGCAGGCTGAGTCCAAACTTCTCTTCCATGTCCACTTTCATAACCCCTTCCTCCAATTTCCATTCATAATCCTTCACAAGGCTTGCCAGCATTATGTGGACCATCCGATACGCTAACGGCAGCCCGAGGCAGATCCGTCGCCCACCGCCAAACGGAGTCAGCTCAAAATGTTGCCCTCGAAAGTCGATATCCGTCTCCATAAACCGCTCTGGAATAAACTTGTCTGCATCCTTCCACACCTCCGTGTCTCTACCAATGGCCCATGTGTTGACCATAATCTGGGCGTTCTTCGGGATTAAGTAGCCGTTGAGCTCAGTGTCTTTTGTTGCTTTCCGTGGCAATAGCAATGGTAACGTCGGGTGGAGGCGGAAGGTTTCTTTGATAATGGATTGAAGGTAGGTTAGCCGGGAGATATCTGATTCTTGGATGAGTTGGTCAGGGCTTAGGACAGTTCTCAATTCATGTCTGGCCTTCTGCAGCTTGTTGGGGTTTCGGATGAGCTCCGCCATCGCCCATTCCACTGTTCCGGAGGTTGTGTCGGTACCCGCCACGAACAGATCCTGTGTTTTATATTGTAGTTAGAGAATAGTTGCATCTTTAGTGACTTTAATACGAAAGAAATGGTATATTCGAAATGAGATGAAGGGTCCCATTCAATTTGTTGTCAATTCGGGTAGTGATTGGAAATTCAATTGAATAAAATTTTAAATAATTCATTGTTGACTTATAATAAAAGGATATATGTTGTATTAATTATAATAAAAATAATTATAATATTAATACTAGAAAACTTCTAATTTTTACAAAAATATCTTTTTTATTTGTATTTATTTATAAGGGAAAAAATAATAAAATTGTCTTACATATACTTCTACTATTAATAAAATACTGTTATTAATTTTAATCACGTAAAACGAAATTCTATGTAATATAAATCTATGATAATTTTTTTATCCATCACTTAATAATGTTTCTATTTTTCGTATTTAGTAAAAAAATATATAAATTTTTGTAAATTTGTTTTATAAAAAATAATAAATATCTACACCCATATTAAAATTCATATAAAAAAATAGAGCATATATACAATTTTTTTTTTTTTTAATGGAGGTAGTACATTTCATTGGAGAGGGACTATAAATTTGATTGGAACAATTTAAAATATATATTTTTCCGCCACATTTAAATTATACACTTTAGCTGGCGCATAAAATTTTAGGTATTATATAATTAATAGTAAATAATTAAAAAGTGTATTACTAAAAATAATTATATATTAAAATTAAGATAACTAAATAGTTTAGTTAAAATAAAATAATTATAAATTTTAAAATATGATTAAAATATATAATTATATTTTTAAAAAAAAAAACATGAAAAATTATGTGTAACGAATCGAAATATAAAAAATTAAAAATTTATGTGAGGAGGGAGTATTAAGTATTTTATAACTTAAAAAGTTCAGCATTTGTTTATGCTTATATTAATACTTAATTATTTTATCACCTAATAAATATTTAATCATATCATGTTATTGCATCGTTACATAAGCATCAAAACCTAATCCATCCTTTTTTTTAATCGCTGCATTGAGATTCGATCCAAACATGTTGACTTTTTGTTTATTAATTAAATAATATTTTAATATTATATTTTATTAAGAAGATACATATATATCCTTTTAAAAACAATACAAAATGAATAATATTTATTTTAATTTCAAATTGGGTAGGGTCTTTTATACTAAGAAATTTTTTACTATCAAAAAAATTAAATTAAATTAAATATCAAATTTTTACATTATATTAAAAATTAATTTTATATTTAAAATACATTAATACCTATTCATATAGTGTTACGACATAATAATATAAATAAAGAGAGATAATATATGCAATTTTATTGTTAAATATTTAATTCCTCATCAAGAATAATTTTGTTCAAATAAATAGCTATATTATAAAAAATGCTCCATTCGTCCCATAATAAAATATCTATTTTTTATTTTAGTCCGTCCCATAACAAAGTATCCATTTATTATTTTTTTGGTAACTGTACTATCTACTTAACATTACAAATACCCTTACAACTTACAATATATTATACAAATGTCATTACTTTTATATTACACATACTAATAATGTTATTTTAGTCATTTTTACTTTATTTCTACTATATCCTAATATAATACTAATATTTCTAAAACTACGTAAAAAAATAAATGAATATTCACTTATGGGATGGAGCGAGTATTATATTTTTATTTTTTCATTGTAAAATTCCTCATCAAGAATAATTTTATAAAAATTAAATAATATAAAATTTTGTTGGACACATTCATGAAAATTTAACATTACATAAAAATATATATATATATTTTTATTAATTATTAAATTATTATAGTACACAAAAGATCTGGAATTAATGAGTACGCTTAAGAGAAATTTGGAAAATAGTTTTAAACATATTTTATTTTAAATTTTTTTGATACATTTTATTAATATTAATTTTTAAAAATAAAAATACTATTTAAATACATATATATATTTTTATAAAACATCATATTAATAATTAATTTATATTATTATAATTTATTTTTTTAAAAACTTTAAAATTTTAAAAATTTCTATCTAACAACTAACCATGAAAAAGAGTTGACAATGGAATGATTGTATATAGCTTATATAGCCTGTAGAAAGTAGGATTTTGTATTTTTTTATTTAAGCAGCTGATTCATATTAATAATAATAATAAAATAAAGAATTTAAGTGAGATATTTATAAAAAAAAAAAAAAACTAATATATATTTTTTTAATTGAGAATCATGAATTAAATAGATATGGTAAAAACAAAGTTAAATTTACCACAAAAATATTGATCTTACCAGAAGTAAATTCTTCACGTGGTCAAGAGTAAATCCAGAGGGATCTTCCCGGTTGAATTCCAGGAGGGTCTCCAGCATGTCATTCCAGACCGTCCGATCGTCTCCGGCGGACTTCATCTCCACCCTCCGATCAATGATCTCGTCGAACACAGCAAAGCATTTTCCGAAATATGCCTCGACACTCCTCAAAATCCCCTGAGGATCGAGCCCCCGCAGGATCGGGAAATAATCCGACATATTAGGCTTTCCGACGAGCTCCATTATCCCACTCACAATGTCCCGGAACTCGCCGGAGGAACTGGACCCCAGCTCCGCCGCGTCGGCGGAAAACAGCGACGTCCACATCAGGTTCAACGACGTCGTAAAGGCTGCTTTTCCGATATCCACGGCCCGGCCCGACGCGCAGCACTCCTCCACGTGTCCGACCAGATTCTTCAGCTTCTCCATTCTCAGGCCACGGCCGGCGTCCATCCGCTGGCCGGAGAGCATCTTGTCCTTACAGATCTTGCGGATCACGCGCCACTGGTCGCCGACGGGCATCCAGGCGACGGAGTTGCGGTCGTGGTCGAGGACTCCGGCGGCGTCGGGGACGAACCGGTTGCAGAAGGCTTGGTCTTGCTTATGGAGGACGGCCCTGGCGGATTCCGGCGAGGATATCACGACGGCGGTCCGGGTGCCGAGTTTTAGGAGCATGATGGGGCCGTGGACTTTGGCTAGCCGGGCCAGGGACTGGTGGGGCTTCCGGCCGAGTGAGAGAATGTTGCCGAAGATGGGAAGCGGGGTGGGTCCTGGCGGGAGCTTGAGTCCCGGACCTCGATTTAGAGCACGGCGAAACCAAAGGCCGGCTGCGAGAGAGAGGAGGACGAGTAGCGTGAAGATCAGGTCCATGAATTCTCTAGTTTTTGCTGTGGTGATGTTAGTGGAAAAAATGTTTATATATTCAGGACCGTTCTTTATTAGTCTGCAGCAAAATTAAAATATTAGACCCTTAAATATATTTTATATATAATAATAATAATAATAATATATTTTAATATAAATATATTAATAAAATATTTTTTATATATTAAACGATCAAAATATAAATATAAAATTAATGTCACATATTTAAGTATAAAATAAAAATTTTAAAAAAATATATTTAATTTAATATTTTTTAAAAAATATTTTTATAAATAATCAAAATCTTTAAAAGAAAATTTTCAAACAAAAATATTTATTAAGGGTTTGTTTCTTTTAATTGATTTAAGGAAAAATTTGGTTTGAATTTGATATTAAAATAATGTTTGATGAAATATTTGTGAGAGAGAAAAGCATAGTCCTAATAGTAAAAATTAGAAAGTTTAAATTAAATAAACAAACTCAATGTTTATATAATACACAAATTTTTAAAACTACTACTAAAAAATATAATAAAATATAAAAATTTAAACATATAAATATAAAAATAAAAATAATAAGAATACAAAAATATTACTATGTCATATCTTTTTAATTTTACATAATTCACAAAAAATATAAAATCATATCATTAAATAAACACACTAAAACATACAAATAAATAATTTTGAAATTAATATAAAAATAATTTATTTAAAAAATAATTATAAAATAAATTTTTATTTAAATTTTATTTTATACATTCTACAAAATATAATAATAATAATAATATATATTATTGGGCTTCTTATCAACACCTAGAGGGAATGGGTCCTGGGAAGGACCTTGTGGCCCTGGCCTAGGGTCGACCTATATATATATATATATATAAAAGCATTTATATATATGGTAGTGTGCAAATTAGATAATGTCTACTTTAAAATTCTAGTTTTGAATTTGAATTTTGGATAGTAAAAATTTCAATTAAAATTATTATTTGACGCAGGACGGCTATTAGCAACTGCTCAAGCTCTAATTAGGATATCTTTTTTTTTTAATGTTGATATATTATAGTTATTAAATTTAAAATTTTATGTTATATTTTATACTTTTTATTATTATTGAATTTAATTTTAATTTTAAGATTAAATTTAAAATTCTAAATTGTTATCTGTTTTTTTTTTTTTAGCCATACTGCATTACATCTTTCGAAATTCAACACCTACACTTCTCTCTTTTCACTTTTATGTCTTTGTCGCGCCGCGTCCCTCCAATCACCCAGAACAAAATTCACTTCTCCCTCTCTCTCTAATTTCTCGTTCACTTTCTTTCAGTTTTTCTCATTATTAGAACCTTCGAAGCACCGTGAGTTCGATTTCCATCTTTTTCTCCCGAGTTAACACCGTAGTCAGACCACTGCCTTTAATTTCTTGTCTAGCCGACACCAATGTCAGTGATATCATTTTAAAAATACATTTAGTGGAGTATTTATAGGACCTAAAATATATTTTTGCTCAGGACCTTGAAAAAGTTCGAAACAATCCCAATTTGATGTAATATAAATATGTATTAATATAGTGTTTTGAATGTAAAAATAAATTTTGGTATAATATAATAAATATATAAATTAATATTTAATTTGATATATAAAAAAAAAATTGAAAATAGTAAAATCAAATTAAAAAACTTACAAGTAAAGCCACACGTATTAATGTGGGCGTACAGGTGTAAATGTGGCAGTGCAATGTAATGGGCATTTAATTAAGGTGGTGTTCATTTAATATTGTTAAAGATAGAATAGATCCATTTGTATTATTAAAATTATTTAGGAGTTGTCCCTACTCCTGGTCTTGCCTGGGCAGATTTTTTTTAGTGGCAAAATAGATAAATATATTAAAGTAAAATAAATATTACTTTTGTATAAGTATATTTTTAAAATATAAATGAATTATTTTAATTAATTAAATTTTAATTTTTTGAATACGTGTCACATTTTAAATAGTGAACTTTTTTTTTTTTTTTTTTTTTGCATAATAGATATTTTAAATTTTAAACTGTGTCACAATTTTTTTAATAGCAGTACTATTATTAAATTATAAAGATTTTATTTTGATGGAATAAAAATCACTCATAGCATAAGTCATCATTAAATTACTAGCGGATTTGTCCTGTTGGTGCATACGGCATACCTCTCTATACGTTTGGAAGAAAAAAAATACATTAAAACAACTATTTCTTTCGGCCCGGCTAAATTATTCTATTTAGCTTAGGCACAATTTTTTAGGTAATATATATTAGTAAATAATTAAAAAAATATATTAATGAAAATAATTATAATTTAATAAAAATAATTATAGATAAAGATTAAGATGTGACTAAATAGTTTAATTAAAATAAAAAAAATTATAAATTATGAATTTTAAAGTATGAGTAAGTGTATAATTATATTTCCAGAAAAATAAAAGGACAAATTATGTGAGACGAACATATATAGAAATAATAAAAATAATAGACAAATTAAGTGGGACGGAAAGAGTAATAAGAACACAAAAAAAAAAAAAAAAAAAAAAAAAAAAAAAAAATTGTGGATAGAAGAAAGAAATTAGAATAAAACAATACTTGATTGATTATGAAATGATTTGCAAATTAGATACATTTATAGGACTTTAAATGTCAATATTAATTCTATCTATACCAACGTAGAAAACACAAATTAAAATTTGTTCAATGAGTGGATGGTAGACCACCAAATTCTTTCACCAACTGTAATTTGAAACAATAAAATAGTAGTGTTTTTTTTTTTTCCAATAAAATCAAGTTTATTTTTCAACACTCTCCCTTAAACTTAATTTTTTACTTCAAAAGTCTCGTGTATCTTTCGAAAGTCTTCAAACATCAATAGCTTCATTAATATGTTAGCAAATTGATTCTTTAACTCTACACATTGAATTTTCCCCTCATTCTTTTCAATACTTTCTCAAATGAAATGAAAGCGAGTACCAATATGCTTACTTCGATTATACTGGACGAGATTCTAGGCCAAAGCAATAGCAGACTTGTTTTTAACCATTATCTTTATAGCCTCTATTTACTTGTAATGAAGTTCTTTCAACAATCTTTGAGGCCAAATGTATAACAAGTATTCGATGTTGCGGCAACATAATCAGATTCGTAGGTGGAGTGCGAAACAATAAGTTGTTTCTTTGAGCACCAAGAGACTATATTACTTTCCATAAAAATTGCAAATTCTGTAGTGCTCTTTCTATCATCAAGATCTCCACCATAAACACTATCACAATATCCCATCAACTTAAAAATATTGGTAGATGAATAGAACAAGGCAAAATCAAGTGTATCTTTAATATATAAGTATTCTCTTTCTCGTCAATTCAATGGGCTTTGCTAGGAACTTCCATGTGACGACTTACAATTCCCACCGAAAACAAAATATTGGGTCTAGTGCAAATAAAATATCTTAGACTTCCAACAAAAACTTTGAATATGGTGAAGTCAACCCAAAAATGAAAGTGAGTATAGATTTGAATGACGGAGGGAGTATGTTGCATTGTAAAATATACTGAAGTATATATATAAATATATTTTGATCACCTGTATAACATATACTCATCCGATCAATGTTGATTTGACCGAATCAGTAGGTTATGCATGCCAAAGAAAAATATGATGAACAAAATGGGTTTGTTTGTTTATTGTTTTAGATTAATAAAATTATTACTATTTATTTTTCATGATTCTCAAATAAAAGAAATAGATATTAGTTTTTTTTTTTTTATAAATATTACATTAGAATATTATTTAAATCATAACTAAAAATTACAAATTCAAATCAAAACAAGAAAAAAAAAATGCAATTGTTTTTATCCCAATCACACACTACAACAATCAATTTAATATGATATTTTTCTAAAAGATAAAATGTAAACGGTTAGATTTGATGTTTTAAAAAAATAATTTGTTTAAAACGGATCTCACTTAAATTCTTTATTTTATTATTATTATTACCATGAATCAGCTGCTTAAATAAAAAATACAAACCCTACTTTCTACACGCTACATACGCTATATACAACCATTCGATTGTCAACTCTTTTTCATGGTTAAGTTGTTAGATAGAAATTTTTAAAATTTTGAAGTTTAAAAAAAAAAATTATGATAATATAAATTAATTATCAATTAATATTAATATTAATAAAAATTATCAAAATTTTGAAGTTAAATACTATTTTTTTTAAAAAAATTAATATTAATAAAAATTATCAAATTTTTTTTAAATAAAATATGTTTAAAACTATTTTCCAAAATTCTCTTAAACGCACTCATTAATTCCAGATCTTGTGTACTATAATAATTTAATAATTAATAAAAAAGCATATTTTTATGTAATCTTAAATTGTCGTTAGCGATGGCAAAAATTAACTCGACCTGATAATTTGACCCGAAATTGACATGAAATAGTTGGGTTTGGGTTGAGATTTTTGATCAAATTAATAATTTGGTCATACCCGTTTAACCCATTTAATTAAATGGGTCAGGTTAAGATCTACATTTTCGACCTGAAAATAACTCGTCTAATATGTTTAATTAATATTATTTTAAATTTAAATATATGTTTTAAATTTTATCAATACAATTCAATATTTATGACCAATTTTATAAAAATAAACAATAAAAAATAAAGGATTGTGTTGTGTACTATTATGTAGTGTTTGTTAATTCAATTATTTAATATCGGTTTCATAATATTAATAAATAATTTTTTGCTTTAATATGTATATATTATGCATTTGAAAATTTTGTTAGTATGTAATTTTAAATTAAAATTTAAAAATTTTAGATTAAACGTTTATATGAGTCAGATTTAAGTTGACCCGATTAATAAAAGATCATGTTAAAGTTGCAGTTTAATTAAATGAGTCAGGTTCAGATCAAGTGTTTTGTAACTCATTTAAGCTGATCCGAACCTGACCCCGATCCGGCCTGATCCCTTCGCCACCCCTAAATTTGTTATGAACGTGTTCAAC